TAATATAAAGGAGAGGAAAGAATGTTGTAGCTTAGTATTGCCTTCTGCATCTTAGAGATTACATTTGATCTTGATTTGTTCTTCCCCTAAAGGAAGAGGAAAAAACATTCAAATTTTTAATGGGACTCCTGCAGTTCCTCTTTGATTACACGGGAGATTGGGTGATAAATTATAAGCAAATGAAAATGCAGTTAAATGATCCTGAGTACTGCAATTAATTAAAACACATTTTGTCACCCATGATAACTAAAAGAGAAGTTGGGGCCAGAAAGATAACAGTTAGAAAGGGTAAAAGAGAAGTTTAGTTTAGTTTCTTTTTTTCCCTTTTTTTTTTTTTTTTCATGAACAGATGTTGAATTCACTCTGAAAAGAACAAGAAGCAGCCCCTTCTGCAGCCCTTCAGCATTTTCCTGATAAATCTTCTCCATGCCCCAACAAAATTCAGCATCCATTTGTCTCAGTTGTCAGTCTGGACTCTGGCAGTATTCCAGGCAGTCTTTCTGATCATCATATAAATTTGCTAAAAATGAGCTGTTATGAAAACTCCTTATGCCCTGTGTGACATAAAGAGACAATGGCAAATAATTCTTTCACTGTTCTGAATATCAAAGCAGCTCCTCATAATTATTTCTCTTTCTTCAGTTCTAAGGACAATAATGCAAGATAAAGTACAGAAATTCCACTGGGACAACACACACAGAACAAAGAAAAATTAATAAATTAACACAGAAAATATGAATATAATGCTCAGTTTTTCAGATTGACTTGGCATTACAGGAAAGTAATATTATTTCTTACACAGCACTATAAACTCTTACACAAAGTTCTGCTATTTTTCATGTGGGAAACAATCCCTAACAAACAATTATCTGCATTAGAAAATTCCAGTGGTTGCAAATATGCATCAATTCCCCCTGAAAGCTTTAAGACTCATGTTGCACATTTACTACATTACTTTTCAGTCAGGTCAGTCAAGTCCATAGGACAACACAAACTCATGGCTCTACACTACCATCAAGCATTTGGCAAGCCTCAACATACAGGGTTTCTTTCCCCAAAATTCATTAGCAATTCTCATTTTAATTTCCTCTATCTTTCTTAGGATAAATTGAATACTTAAAGTGTATCACAACAGATTAATAAAATGTTACTGTATTCAGTTATGAAACAGTGCAGTATTCCTATTTTTAGATCAGAAGACACCAGAAAAAAATTCCACCAAATGTGACCTTTGCAACAAACCTTACCAAACCCATCTTAGAGAGCATTTCACTACAAAGCAGTAAAAATTAAGAGGAATATTGCAAAGAAAATAACCTATCACAACCTATATGTTGTTCAGAATTGTACAAGATACTAACATGCTGCAACAGACTGATTTATCTAAGCAGCAGTCTTTTTAACAGTCCTAATATTTTCAAACTAGAAACAACACTTGTCATAGAGAAAGAGTCTTAAGTCATAGAAGAAGCGGAAATCTCTATGGTAAATTCTCCATTAATAACAAAATGTTTTAATAGAAAGATAATAATTTCCAAGTAGAGTTGTTTTTGCATTTCTTAGTCTACTAAATATTTCACAGAAGAAAACCAGACCACTGTAAAATTTAGGGGGTTTTATTATTACATGATAGTTGAAAAGCCATCCAGCAACTACAGCATTGGGCCCTTATGAAGATCCACTCTGTCTATCCTTTTAGTTAGTATTTCAATGTCATTTAGGTAAAAAAGAATAAAATCAATTATTTGCAAGAGTGCCTTAAAGGTTATTGCAAATTTATCTATTATGCAACCACAAAATTTACAAACCATCTGCTTGGCTAGATTCCCTTTTCACAGATGCTAGCTAGTATAACTTAAGCCTGCAAATCAGATTTGTGTATACATCTCAAATTACAACTACCTAAAACATTAATAAGAAAAATAGTAACAGTTCATTGATTCATTTTCCATGGCTATCTTGGTAATTTTGGGAAGGTGAGGGGAGGAAAGGCAGGACAACCTGTATAGAATTTAAAAAAAAAATTATCTTCTAGTACCTCTGCAAATTCCTGAATGGTGGTTTTAGGTCACATTTCTTGCATACATAAAACTTTCCATATATACATGAAGGAAATTGCTGCTACATACAATTTAGCTTATGTTAGTATACAACAAAGAACATTTTACTTAATTTATTTCTTCAACAATTGAAAGAATAGCTTATAGAAAGCAATACTATATCTGAATTCTACAATAAATAAACAGTGCACACATTCTGCTTACAAGATGTTCCTTCCCATTTGCAGAGGAACCTGCAGAAAGACCTGTAGGACAAGTCTCAGGAGAGAAGAGACTTGGCCCTCTAAAAACCCAGCCAATGGTAGGGAGATCAGATGTATTTTTCTGTCTGCGCATCCCTTAAAGAGAGATCTATATAACACATACCTACAGCACATTAAGACCTTTCCCTAATTTCTTGATAGGCAGATTGTGAAAAGGACCAAGTCTTTCCTTCTGTACTGGACTAATCTATGATGGATTGACACTGGGAGAACATGTACAGTTGGATCAGCATGGCCAACAGACAGTGAACAGTAAGTAAAGGATGTTTTTTTCTTACAAATATGTAGTTAGTTGTGTTCAAGGCCAGGTGAGGTGGGGCTCTAAGCAACCTGTTCTAGCAGGAGGTGTCCCCTGCCCATGGCAGAGGAGTTGGAACTGGATGATCTTCAAGGCCCCTTCCAACGCAAAGCATTCTATGATTCTATTATTGGATATATCCATGATATGCTACATTGTTTATTACTTCAGTTAATCCTTCCTACATCACCCATCTTGACGTTTCTTTAGCACTATAAAGTGATTAAGTTCTTACTACAGGACATGTCACTTATGTTAACACCCCCTAAGAAAAGAGTCAACTGCAAAGGATAACTGTCTTTGACAACTTTGTTTCTCTGCTACTTGCTGGCAACATTTGCATTAATTTTGCATGTAACAAAGAATGGACACATAATTAAAGATGCATCTGCAACCTTTCTTTACTGTTTTCACTGATGCCTTTATCCATATGCATGGCTTTTAATCCCATTTACACCTGCAACAAAGATATGTCTGCAGAGCCAGTTTATAACAGAATCACTAACAGAGTAGCACCTCTCTATATATGTGCTAAGTTTCAATATACATTTCTAAGACTCTGAATAAATTAAGACTCTGATTTGAAATCAGAATTTGGAATGCAAAGCAGAATTAGCTGCTATGGAACCACACCACAGGAGTCTCAAAAGACACAGTAGGTGTACAGCCTATGTGTATTTGGGATATAAAAACGGCAGAAAACTTGCAAACAGTCAGAAATCAGAAAACACAGGAGAAATCCCTTGTTTTATGGAGATGCTTCTAATTTTATCCTCAGGGAAAAAAACTGTCAGACATTTATAAATTACATGTGTTCTCAGGCATACATTTACAGAACACAACTCTAAGTTAAAACTTGACATTTTTAGTTATTAAACAGAATGTCAGAGTTAAACTGCTTAAACACCTTCAAGCATAAACACTTTTAAGACAAAACAATGAAGATACTGAGAAAGTTAGTATCAAGTGCAAGACAAGTTTACCACTATTCTGTTCCTCAAAGGGCAGCAATAATACCAAGTCAGAGCACTATAACTATCTTTTTTTGTAATCTCATGCAAACTTGTCACTAGAAAAAGAGAAAAACAGTAACATCAGAATCCTGCTTCTCTACTCATCTAAGGGATTTGACATTTCTTGGCATCCTTATGTTTTCTGCAGATATGGTCAGTCTTTTGGTGTGCCAAGATGTAAGAGCATGTGGGAAAGTGTGACAGCTTGAAAGCAGTCCCCTGTTTATCAGGTTTGCAGGCAGAGCAGCCAGCCCAAGGGGTTTACAGACAATTGAAACAGGGCAACAATTCTCTTTGCAAGAAGCTTCTTTCTGAAGCAAATTCAATCCCAAGAATGTTTGGATAGACTTGAGCTGCAAAATAGGCATAAGAATCAGAAGAAAGTTCTCACTCAATTCCTCCTCAATTGCATTAGCATGTTTCAACAACTTGTAAAAGGCTCTGAAAAACCTGAATCAGAATGATGAAGGTGTCAAAAGATCAGGATTTACTTTTATCTTCAGAGATATCTGGAGAAGGTGATACTAATGTACCCCTTAAAACTGAGGACACTGCTTTCAATCTCCATTTTAATAAAGTTAATTGTGCATGCAAATATAATAATCTAGTATAATCTAATTTAATAAAGGCAGAAAACTCCACAAGGTCAAATATTTCATCTGTGCTCTCACTCTACAGCCAGTATAAGAATTACAAGCAACTTAAGTTGTCCTGAATAAAATGGTTATTAAAGCAGCTTGTTGTGTAATTCTGAAGATAAATTCAGTGATATATAAAACAAATACAGTGTTGCATATTAAGCAGTACTAGAGGCTACCAAACCACACATTTTCCAGCTGCTGAGAAAATCAGCAAAGAGGTAAAATTGCCCAAAAGCTGTTATCATCCCAATAATTTGAAATTCAGCCATTGCTGAATAAAATGAACCCAATTCCAAAAATAAATCAAGAGCAACCCTAAAACCAAACAATACATTTTGGTAAAGAAAAAAATGTATATTAATAAAGGTGACCCAAACAAGAATTATTACAATTGAGACATTACCCAGACATGAAGTTTCTTTAAATACTTCTTAATATTCACTAATTCTATTGTTAAAGGAAATAACATTTTATATCTCATCAGGAGAATAATGAAGCTTCTGTTGTCTTTAAAGGCTACAGTAAAATTCTCAACAGATTTGTGGAGCTCAATCACTCCAAAGCTAGTAGAATCCAGCATTTCCAAAGGTTTGCCACACAGGTGACATTTGAGGTCAGTCATAAGAAGGCAGAATAAGACAAATAGAAAACAATACATTTCACATTATGGAAACAACAAAACCTATGGAAATATGCTGAAAAAAAAAAAGTAAAGAAACAATTACCTGGAACAAGTTCCATAACAATATATATAGGCTGTCGTTGTGTGCAGACTCCTATAAGTTTTACAATATTAGGATGATCATATTGTTTAAGTATTCTGCAAAACACACAAGAAGTTTACCATATTAATAAACTTGATTGTACAGGCTGATTAAACATTACAGGAAAATATCTAAAACCTTTAATGTTACTTTAATGGAAGATGTCACTATTGTTATCAAAGAAAAAATATCATTACTGCTATCAAAACCAATGTAACAAATCAATTAACACTCTGTTTGAAATGAAAATCATAACTGATTCATTAATATATCAGAAATTATTATTATTGTAATTTTACCATTTGTCTATGTGACACTTATCTATAAACTGAAAAATGGCCTGACAGAACCCTTAAAAAACCTACAGATATATAGGTATAGATATATATAGAACCTATATGATCAGAATTTCAGAGGTGGACCAGAAGCAGAGCTACATCAAAACAGTATGCACAGCTTGCCTGTATGCTTCCCTATTGTACTGCTCAAAAGCACACTTTTTCCAATTTTACTTTGAGAGATTAATTAATACAATAAATTTTAGAAGACTATAAGGACATCAATTTTGAGAATGAAAAAATTACATCTTTTGACACAATTATTTAGTAAGAACATTTCCAGCCTAAAACAGCATGCTATGATTTGTAAGTAAAAAGAAGAGCAAGAAAAAACTCTACAGAGACCTTCTAACTTAAATGCTCCTTCTGATATTTGCTCATCCTAAGCACCTCCTCTTTTTCCCTTTTTCTCAAGGATCAAGAGTAAAATAGTAACCTACACACACATTTTGCGAAAAATAACATATTCCATTTCTTCAGACCATTTTTTCCTACTAGTGTCAAGCTGCTTAACAAATTACATATCTCTGCTGTTGCCAAGTCACAAGTTTTTTTTAATTATTCAACAGATAGGGTGGCTGATCCTCATTCTATAAACACAGATAGTATCTTTTATTTTCCAATACTGATCATACTGGCTTGGGAGTGGAAGCTAAAACATATGAAGCCTCGTAGCAAAAAGGAGCAATGTGGAAGCCCAGGGCACCAGGAATATTTCTCTATCTGCTCTGGGGTGCCCTGACCCCCAGGGGAGCACTGACTTTGACCCTCATTCATGGAGAAGTTTACTAGACTTCAAGATAGATTAGAATCCACAAAAGTGTGACATAGATTATAGAGAGCAGTGTAGGTGTATCACTTGGTGAGAAATTTAGGTTTTGGGATTTTTAGTATGTTGTGGATGGAAGCAAGATGGAGGGCACAGGGTGCCGTCCTGGGTTTCTTCTTCATGCTTCTTCTTCCTTCCTCTTCATGGGTTTGGGTGGCATTTTGTAATTGGGCAGAAAAGTCCGCATTACAGGCTCTTTGGGATCAGTTACTGGGTTAAAAGGGAAAATCATCTAGGTGTCTGTTCTTAATTGAATAGTTTAGTCTTAAAATACTTTGTAACAAGAGACTGTTAGCCATCTTGTGCATTCTAATGAAAAGCTGCTGAACTCAAAGTAGTGAGACTGTTTTTCTGATAAGAAACAATAAACACCTGAGTCCAAACATGAACTACTGTCTCAAGTACTTTCAAACCAGACCCAGAGAAACCAACAACTGGCACCCCAGCAGAGCAAGGTAGTTTAAAAATTATTGCATTTATCTCAAGACAGCCCTCTCCCTGGAGTCTCAGAATCTACCTATGCACATCAGCTGACACTCAGAATGCTGTGCACATTGTGTCATGTCTGTAATTTGGAAAATAAGCATATAATCTCATGCTGGTTGACACAGTATAAAATACCTCTATTGGAGCAAACTTTTCTTACAAAAAGAAAATTACTAAATGGGGTCTATACCCCACTAAGAAAAGTAATCTGGGCACATTTGATCACCTCTACTAGCCATGAATATAAGGCAGGAGTTAGGCCTGGTATAATCACAGTTAAATTAATAACATCTTCTAGTCTTCTTATCCCAATCCTCATGGCACATCTTAGAATGAAAGCACAAAATTTTGTTTTTCAGGCATGGCTTGCTTTGTCAGTGAGATGGTTTCAGCAAGTGAAAATGCTACCGGATTCACGTGTTAAAAATGCCAATGCTTAGTTACCAGAGCGACAGTTGTGGAATGTACTGAGAGAGAGAAAGGAAGGAAAAGTTTGACTTCTGCTTTTTTGAATTTTTCAGAAGGTCAGGTTTTATAAATGCTTCTGGTGATAAAAACTGAAAAAAACTGCCACGAATAATTTTAGAGAACCTACCTGGCTTCAGACAGAAATTTTATTTTCAGTTCCTGAGGAAGATCTTCTTTGCAAGTTTTTATAGCAACAGGGGTTTTATCCTTTAATGTTCCTTTATACACCTCACCAAAATTACCCTGAAATCAGGAGAAAAAAGATCATTCTAGGTAAATAAAATCTTAATGAATTGCCAGAAAAAATAATGCAGAGAGCTACTGAAAGTGGACCCGAACTCTAGAAAGTGTTCATGAAGGCAAATGAGATTTTCTTTCAGTATCTGCCCTAACCGAAACGATTCACTCTGACACTGTACATCTAGTATATGGACACAGCATATGAGTTCTGTTTCAGTCTTGCTGGAAAGAGGAAAAAAACCACCATTAATTAAGTAATTAGCAATTTCTCATAAAACCTCTTAGTAACTTCTCAAATCAACTGACATTGACTGTAGTACTTTGTTCTTCTTATTCTTACTCCTGCACTCTTTCATTTTCACACTATTGTATTTTGTGAATAGTTTTTAACTTCCAGTCTGGAAGAGACCAAAAAATGATCTCAAAAACTGTGACAAAACACACCAAAATAACACAAACATTCTCACAAGAAAGAAAAAATTCAAAATACAAAGAATGAAAACACTGAATATTAATTTTTATCATAAATTAAATCCACTGCAAAATGTATTGTTGGGTATGGTGATCCAGAATTTCTTTAAAACCCAAGCTCAGCACTGCTCTATAAAGACAAATTTGTGAGGCTCCGATTTGGACAAGACTTTAGAAAGCAGCTCCTTTTATAACCAAACATTTTAGGTAGTGAACAATGTACCTCCAAGACAAGTTAGGTTTTCTTTAGCTTTCATAGAAGAAAAATGAAGCAATAAATACCAGAAAAGAATCCACCAAAATGCAAAGATGCATTTTTATTTAATAAAAACAAAAGGAAAATTCATTAGGACACAAACTGAAAGAAGAAGGAAATAGTGAGGTATAAAATACTGGTATTAATGAAAAAAACTCTCAAGAGAAGAAAAAAGAAGAAAACTACAGATGTCACACTTCTACTTAAGCTTTGTATTTCCCAAAGAAAAAATTTCCCAACTCAATTTTGAAACTATGTCTGATTAATTTCTAGACATACTATACTTCTGTGTCCTGGTGTCTGGGGCTGCATGACTTAAAAAAGTCTGCTGGAGATGTTTTCCTTCCTTTGCTCAGTGATGAAGACTTCATTACATCATGCAGCTGAATTTAGTGTTGCCAAAGTAAGATGACAGAAAAGGAAAAAAAGAAACTCACAGATGGAAAAGAGTAATGTGCTTCCAGTAATAAGGGAAGAAATGCAGAGCTGAACATGCCTGCAGAATTATTTCCTGTATGCTGGGACAAGGAAGATGTAGCTGGCAAGTGAGGCTTAGGATCTCTCACAGTCCTTCTAAAGCACTTCCAGAGCCTAGCACTCTACCTCGCAGATGTGAAATGGCATGAGGAGCCCAACGCAAGCAGGTGAGCTGCTCTCAGGCTACTTTTCCTCTACCATTCTAGTCAGAAGTATTTAACAATGAAATCTAAACCCACCCTAACCTTTATTTAAGTCTTGAAAATGCTTTACTTCTTTGTTGACAATATTCAAGTATTATTAGATACATGATTTTTAGTATACCACATTCCTGTCATGCAACTTTCATTTTGTGGGGTATTATGGAATTAACGCTGAGTAAACAAACTGACCCCTGAAGTGAAGGAAAATCTTCATCTTTTCTAAACCTTGCATCTTTTACACATTAAAATTTTGTGATTTCTTCCTCATCTTTTCCAGGCCACTCAAGGTTTTGTAGATTCTCAGATTTCTCACTTGTGTGGTGAATGGCTATAGTTTATTTCACATTTTGTCATACAGATGCCAATGTTCCTGTCATTCTTATCTTTTTTAGTATGACCACATCTTCTTAGAGGTGAATGCCTAAGAATCATGCTGTGTTCCAATAAAGTTTTTAGCCTGTTCTATATTTTTTAAAGAACATCTTCTATAATTCCTTTAAAATTCTGCATTTCCTTTATTGAATGTTAAAAATGTTTTGTGCAAAAAACATGCAATACACATGTAAATTGAATTTACTAAAAATGCTTTTCAAATTGCTTTAACTGTCTTTACACTAAATCAAAACTAATTCATATTTATTTTTTAACAAGTCAAAGCTTTTTTTGTGGCTGGAATATCTTTATTTTTCTCCCTTGATACTATCCTGTTTAAGAATGTGAAGATCCTGCAGTACCTGTATTTTATGAAGACACAGCTCAATGTGGTCATACTTTTTGTCACATTAATCTGCTAAAGAGCTTTTTTTCCTGGGAAACAGAAGTTTATAGAAGTATTTTATTTCCCCATTCTCAAATTCCTTACTGATTTTTTTAGTGTGTACCATAATAACAAGGCAATTAACTGCTTTGATTTGTCTCTTTCTCATTTAATCTTATATTCTCAGCTTTTGGAAAATCTTTTCAAACTACTCTGTGTCCAGAGTAGCACCCAAAATGGTCTTTGCAGGTGCAAAGGTGCCAAAAAAGTGAGGAGGTTGCCTGATTTTAAAGACCTGTAGTTTCTAAACAGACTTTGTAAACTACATGTTTATGACCTACATAAGATTTAATAGGATTGTGAAATTATCTAATTCCATCAATGAATGAGTAAAAATAACCATGCACAAGCAATTAGCATTTGTTTTAATAAATAATCATTTAGTCATCTCATCATATCAAATTTTATACACAAATGCATAAACATACACCTGTTTCTCTACGTGTTTTATTTATATTTTGCAACATTTTTCTCCAACTACAGAAAGTAAAACAGCCACATCATGCTTTATAGAAATCTAGTTAGCCCAAAACACTTCCAAAAGAGAAAAAAATATAAATGCTAGTTAAATACTTTCAGCACGACCATTATAATGTTTCCTAGCAAGTGAGATTTACATCTGTTTAAAGCATAAGGCTGTCTCGTGTATTAGTGTAAAAAATGACGTAAAAATTATATACCAGGGCAATTTAAAAGAAAAGGTATACAGAAATAGCTTAATGATTACAGTATACTTACTCGAACATTATTTAGCTCACTTTATTACTTACTTTGCCCAGTAATTCACCCAGTGTGACATCTTCATGATTGAGAACCCACTTCTTATCCTATGAAAAGGAAACCAGAATTTTCAGTCTGGGCAAATATGCAAGATACAGTTTCTCTAAGATACATTTCAGCAGAAATGGAGCTGAAGAAGTATTACATTTAGAACACTCAATCACAAGCATACCAAGAAATTTTAAAGCTAAGCATTTCTAATTCAAGAGTTTAGAAATCTTGTTACACAATGAAACAGCGAGTGATACTATATAGCAAATTTTTATTAGAAATTAAGCCTACAACATTATGACATGTAGATAGATTAGCACTATGTAAAGTTTCACAGAAGCTCTGGAAATTATATTCTATTTATCTGATTTTAACAATTAGTCAATTGAAAATTAGATAAGAAAATTTCATTTTAGTATACGAAGTAATTTACTACTAAATAAAAAAAACTCCCACATTTTTCTCCTCAGTGCACATGGAAATGAACTGATCTTTTGACTTGCCAACAAGACACATATTTGCATCTCTTACGTCTTTTCTGGAAGTTGGAAATATTACAGGCAACTACTTGAAAAGATAATACATGCCAGGTAATGCATTTGTCCAGGCATTAACCATCCCCCTGTGCTAGGCATTGGTGTCCAGTTCCAGGCCTTCCATTCAGGACAGACATTGAGGGGCTGGAGCATGTCCACAGAAGAGCACTGGAGCTGGGGAAGGGTCTGGAGCAGAAGTCAGATGAGGAGCAGCAGAGGGAGCTGGGAATTCTCAGTCTGGAGAAAAGGAGGTTGAAGCTAGGTGGGGTTTAGTCTCTTCTGCCACATCCCAAATGAAAGGACAAGAGGAAATGGCCTTAAATAGTGCCAGGAGAGGTTCAGATTAGAAATTAGAAAAAAATTCTTCACTGACAGAGTGATTAGGAATTAGAGTAAGCTGCCTAGAGAGGTCATGGAGTCACCCTCCATGAATTCAGCATGAATTCAGAATTGAACATGAATTCAGCAAATCTAAAAAGGGGTGGGGATTATTGCTATTGTGATTTCTATGCTTTTGTTTGTAAGTATAATGTCACAAGTGTGCATTCTAGAGACTCTCTGAATGCCTCCACTAAACCAAACTCCCAGCACACAACACCTCTCAGTTCCATCCCAAGAATTCCTGTACCACACCAACATGCCGCATGGTGAAAACCAATCTTTACTATATCTCTTCCTTGGGTGAGAAACTGTGAGACTTAGGAGGAAATTCTCAATATACAATAGTTTATTTTTCCCCGTACACAAGATTATTGGTTAAAACTACAGCCTCACTGATCAAGCATCATAAGAAACATATCTCCTTCATCTCACTTGATACTTTTTGCTGAATGAATGTCTCATTCTGTTATACTACAAATAGATAGGAAGCGCCATCCACAACTGCACACCCTTTCAATAATAATACTCAAGTTTAAGAAAACCATTTGCAAAGAAAGCTGTAAAAAACCATAAACCCACAAAAATTACTACTTAGAGGTATTAACATAATAGTTTTTAACATTGAAATAAGTGTGCTAAAGCCAAAAAGTTGAAGAATTAAAATTGAATGGATTTTTTACTCCTTAACTACAAGGATTCTGTACTGCAGTGAATAACTTCTTGAATAAATTGACAATATGACATTTCAAAAGCTTGTTTATGAAGGAAAAAAATCTGACAATTCTTCAGAGAGCTAACCAAAGAAAATAACACCATCAACTGGAATCAAATTATCTGTTGATGGATTTATTATCATTACATCTGTACATTACTCATTACCTGTACTTTTTATAAAAGTCTTCAGTCATGTCTTATACCACTTTAATTCATTCATTAATTTATTGTGGTTCTGCCAGGTTTTTCACAATCAAAGAATTATTCAAAGCTTGATCAGCTTTGTTTGATATAACTCCTATAAACTGCACAAAAGCAGTTTCTTCGGCAGACAGTAAGAAAAAATCGAACAGAAGAGTGATGTATATCATGCCAGTGTACAATTCTGGCACTAAAAAAGAAACAAACCAAATTTTCTGATTTGCAATGTGTTAGATATTAATTTAAACAGTGTTCAAAACACACTGTCATTGGTTCAGATAATTGCCTTTAATTAATAAACTATAATATGAACAGTAAGGTCAAAAATAACATAACATTCTACCGCCAGTCTGTAGTCTCACTAAATCTACTTGAATTGCTCTAATATGACATCATTCAGTAATCTGAATAGCTGTCAATAATTAAAGACATCAATAAGGCACACTTATCAATGTCAAAATCAATGTATAAATACTAGTACTCAAAAACAAAGGTTATGAAATAATGTCTCTGTCTGATCATGAAGTTCATAATCTTCTCAAAGTGTTTAATTCTGACTGTGAATAGAATGTAAGGATTTTTCCAGTTGTCGTAGAGTAAATGCCATTACTCTACAGATTAATCAAGTGTGCAAAAGATATTGAAAGTTACAAAAGAAATATGACAGCAAAATGGACAAAAATATTCTCGAATGTAAGCGTATATCAACAGACACTTTAATGCACATCAGTCCAAGCCACAGAAATTTTCATTTCGAAAGAGTTAGTTCCTTCTAAATCAAATGGAACAAATCCAGTGCATTTTTGCACCTAATCAAAGCAATCTGAATGAAAACAAACAGAGCTCCCGAGACTATTAATGCCCATTAATTTCAACCAGAAGGAAGCTGTTTAGGATGCAGCCCTCTCCTTGTGACACCGCTATCAATCTCTCTTTACCTCGTGCTTGTTCAGATTTTTCTCTTGTTAATTTTGGACCACAGAATATAAAAGCATCTCAGAAAAATTCAGTCACACAAATTAGCACTTGAGCATACTCATTTGTAATCTTAATTATATATCTTATTTCCAAATGGAATTACTTGGGAAATCTACAAGCTTTACCACATTCTGCTTTACTTCTGTCCTCTAGCTTCCCCCAGCAGGAGAAACTGAATTACATGAATGCCACACTTCAAGCACAGGTTTACTAATAAGATGATGGAATCCTATCAGTTTATCTTACCTTTGGAGGTACTGCTACATCTGTTGGTCAAACACTGAGAAACAAAAAGTTAACCAGACAGGTCACAAAGGGGAGAACTTGGTCAGTCTTGAGAGTTACCCTTCCCCAACAGCCAGGCACTTGATAAGCCACATCACACACAAGGTTTTCATATGCAGCAGCTTGCTAGTGACTACCTTTCTAGACTCTGTGCCAGCACACTTGTCTGATTTCAACAAAGAGAACGGTTATTTCAAAAGTTCACAGAATCACACAGAATCACAGATTCAAAAGTTAATTGTAACTGACAAAAACCAAACCTCAAACAGACCAGTAATTAAAGAAATAAAACTTTCAATTGTGAAAAGGAATGCTTAGAAATAATCAGAAATGTCTCCTTTTACTCATAAAATAAAGTATTCTGGATATACAGTATTCTTTTCCTGGATACGTAGCATTCCTTTTATAAAGTTAGGGTGTTTCATAGTTCCCTAGGACATGATAAGGTTCAAGTCTTGAACAGTGTTTCGGACTAGGGTAAATCTGGGAGAAAATTTTTAAAAGGGGGCTTTTTAGAAAATAAACTTATATGGTTCTACTCCCTTGCTGGTTTGAGAAGGATTTTTCAGAAAGAAGTGGAAAGAACCTGTTTATTTAACAGGCAAAATACCCCTAGCACAGAAAATGAACAATACCAGATGACAACACTCTTTCACCAATCTGAAAAGGATGACATACTGAGAAAGTCTTTTCTGGGAGTGGTCGCTCTGTTGTCGCTTCCTCCAGCGCTGGGAATAGCTGCTGCAGCTACAAGGTGCAAACTCTTGGTGTTTCCCAGGTCCCAGTCCAGAGCAGGTTTGAATGGTTCCAAAAAAAGGGAAAGGAAAACCAGTCCAGGGAAAGATTTGGACTGCTTAGCTAAACTAACTAATGAGCAGAAGCAAAAAGCAAAAGCAAAAGCAAAGCAGGAGCACAGCAGAAGCAAGAGCAAGAGCAAAGCAAAAAAGCAAAAGCTGCATTATGTACTGCTCCATCTCTGTGTTTCGTCAGCTGTGGGGGAGCAGACAGATAAAAAACCTAAAACAAAACATTCACTCTTCAGAGCCAGTCTTGAAGGCACAGAACATAATATCTAGCAGAAACAGAATACAGGATTGGGGATACAAGCATCATAACATCACTTTAGGACATTTTACTCTTTATCTTCATATCGTCAACATACTACTAAACATCATGCATTTTATTAACGTAAAACTTCTATCTGTTCTCTCTAAAAATTACAAGCTATACTTATCATGCTCTCATTGCATTCTCACACCAGACTACTGAATCTAAGCTCTATATCACGGAGCTGCAGGATTTTCCACTTTCATTTTACTCACTTAAAACTTTTATCTTTTACTTCCTTAGACTTCCGACACTTACACATTTTTTTCTATCTTATGTCTGTATGATTTAATGTGCAGACAATGGCAGTAACATCTAACAAACAGTGATATTTGCATATCATCTTCACTTTACAATTAGATCTCTGTGAGGTGCACATTGTGTTGTTTTATCTCTTTGCATTATCTACCACGTGTAAACTAGTCCTTGAGCAAGAACAACTCTACGAATGGGTTTGTCTGTACTTGAGGCAGAATTGATTTACACAGTCTTCTAACAAACTTTTCACATATACTACTGGGACTTTATTGTATTCAGGGATTCAGACTGGGCAGGACTTGCCTGGTTGGTGGAACTTCAGGTGTTCCACTAACCAGGTGGCTTTTGTTAAATGTTGCTCCTAGTTTTTGAAAGATTCTTTACTTAAGGCTTTTAACTGGGTTTTTAGTAGTCTATTGTACTTCTTTACTTTGCCTGCAGCTGGTGCATGGTAGGGGATATGGTATATTCACTCAATGTTATGTTTTTTAGTCCAGGTGTTGATAAGGTTGTTTTTGAAATGAGTTCTATTGTCTGACTCAGGAGTATTTCAGGAGTATTATGTTTCTAAAGGATTTGCTTTTCAAGGCCCGGGATTGTATTACAGATTGTAGTATGAGACACAGGGTAAGTTTTTAACTATCTCATGGTGCCTTCTACCATTGTGAGCACATAGCACTTGCTTTGGTGTGTCTGGGGCAGTGTGATGTAATTAATCTGCCAGGTTTCTTCATACTTGTACTTGGACTACTGCTTACTACGCTACAGGGGCTTTACCTTTCTGGCTTGTTTGATGGCAGCACACGTTTCACAGTTGTGGCTAACTTGTGAAGTATTGTTTATGGTTAAATCTACTCTTTGGTTTCGTGCTTACTTGTAGGTGGTATTTTTACTTTGATAAAGGTATTATGGTATTATTGAGCTAGGTTTGAGGTATTATGGGCTTATTGAGCTAGGAATAACTTTCTTTTGTGTTTTTAATTTAGGTCTATCTTGGACACCTTTATTTTTGAAGCTTGGTCTACTTGCTCATTGTTTTGGTGCTCTTTATTAGCTCTGTTCTTGGGGACATGGGCATTTATATGGCAGACTTTCACAGGTAGCCTCCCTACCCTGGTAGCAATGTCTTTTTATTTTTCAGCAGCTTAAATTGGTTTTCTTCTACACTGCTAGTTAGCTTCTTTGTACTTCTCCAGCCATCCCCACAGAGCATTGGCTATTATCTATGAATCAGTGTAGAGGTAGAGCTTTGGTTACTTCTCTGTTTTTGCCATGTCTAGGGTCAGTTGAATAGCTTTGAGTTTTGCAAGTTGGCTTGATCTACTTTTTCTTTTAGTGGCTGCTGTGATCTGTCATGTGGGGCTTTATACAGCTGCTTTCTACTTCTGATTTATTCTTACGACGCGACAGGAACGGTCAGTAAAAAGAGCATAGCATGGTTTTTTTGGTGGCAGTTGGTTATATGGAGGAGCTTCTTCAGCTTGTGCTACTGGCTCTTGTTCTTCATCTGTAACACCAAAATTTTTACTTTCAGGCTAATTTGTAATTACCTCTAAAATCTTAGGGCGATTTAGTTTACCTATACAGGTGCGCTGTGTGATAAGAGCAATCTACTTGCTTCATGTAACACTGGTGGCATGGTGGGTGGAAGGAACTCTGCTTTTGAACATCTACCCTAGTACTGGCAGTCGAGGTGCCAGGAGAAGTTGTGTTTTTGTATTAATTACTTCTGAGACAGCTTGGACTCTTCTATAGGCAGCTAAGATTTTTTTCTTTATTGGAGTGTAGTTAGATTTACACCCTCTGTAGCTTCGACTTTAAAATGTCAGTGGTTGACTCTGAGTCTTAGGTACTTTTTGCTAAAGGCTCCAGGACAAACTACGGTTCCCAGCTGCAGAGTAGGGCATGTTCTTCACTTCTGGTTCTGTCTTGACTGGGCCAAGGGCTACTGCATGAGTGATTTTTTGCTTAATCTGGGCAAAGGCTTGTTGCTGCTCAGGGCCCCAGTGGAAATAATCTTTTTTATGAGTGATTAGGTAGAGAGGGCTTACGATCTGACTGTATTCAGGAATGTGCATTCTTCAAAAACTTATGGCATCTAGGAAAGCTTCTGTTTCTTTTTTATTGGTTGGTGGAGACATAGCTGTGATCTTGTTGATGACATTACGGTTCCCAGCTGCAGAGTAGGGCATGTTCTTCACTTCTGGTTCTGTCTTGACTGGGCCAAGGGCTACTGCATGAGTGATTTTTTGCTTAATCTGGGCAAAGGCTTGTTGCTGCTCAGGGCCCCAGTGGAAATAATCTTTTTTATGAGTGATTAGGTAGAGAGGGCTTACGATCTGACTGTATTCAGGAATGTGCATTCTTCAAAAACTTATGGCATCTAGGAAAGCTTCTGTTTCTTTTTTATTGGTTGGTGGAGACATAGCTGTGATCTTGTTGATGACATCTATCTTGCTACTTTATTCCTAGGAACTGAATCTAATGAGCTGGTTCTTTTACTTTGCTTTTTTTGATGGCAAAACCAGCTCCTAGGAGGATTTGGATGATTTTCTTTCTTTTCTCAAACACTTTTGCAGTTGTGTTTTCTTACACAACGATGTCATCAATATACTGTAGATGTTTTGGAGCTTTACCTTTTTTTAGTGTAGTCTGGATTAATCTATGGCAGATGGAAGGACTGTGCTTCCACCCCTGGGGCAGTTGGTCCCAGATATACTGCACTGTCTTCTACGTGAAAGCAAACCAAGGCTTGAATTTTGCTGCTAGAGGAATGGAGAAAAATGCATTGGCAATATCGATAGTGGCATACCACTTCGCTGCCTTGGACTTAAGCTTATACTGGAGCTCTAATACGTCTGGCATGGCAGCGCTTAGCATTGGAGTCACTTCATTCAATGCATGGTAGTCTATCGTCAGTCTTCATTCTTTTTCAGATTTACGCACAGGCCAAATGGGGCTGTTGAAGGGTGAGTGGGTCTTGTTGACCACTCCTTGGCTTTCTAGCTCTCGGATCATCTTATGGATAGGAATCACAGCATCTCGAGTAGTTTTATATTGTCAACAATGCACTGTGGAAGTGGCAATTGGTATCTGTTGCTTTTCTTTCTTTAGAAGTCTTACTGTAGATGGAGTCTTAGACAGTTCAGGCAAGGTGTTTAATTGCTGGATGTTTTCTGTCACTACAGCTGCTATCTTGAATGCCCACCTGAGTCTTTTTGGGTCTTTGAAATACTCACTTCGGAGATAATTTATGCTCAAAATACATGGGGCCTCTGGACCAGTTACAATAGGGTGTTTTTTCTACTCATTTCTAGTCAGGCACACATCAGCTTCTACTAAAGTGAAATTTTGTGATCTCCTTGTCATACCGGCAATAGAAACGGATTCTGTCTCTATATGTCTTGATGGAATTAATGTGCACTGCGCACCAGTGTCAACTAAAGCTTTATATTCTTGTGGTTCTGATGTGCCAGGCCAACAAATCTAGACCATCCAAAAAACACAGTTTTCCCGTGCTTTTCCTTGGCTAGAGGCAGGGCCCCTCTAAGCTTGGTATCTTTCTTTCTCTGGCCATATGTCTTGGAGGTTCTTTCAAGGGGATTGGACATGTCATCATCATCATTAAACCTGACAGTTCAGCTATGGGCAACTGGAGCTGCTTTCTTTTTGGTGGAACTTCTCTGAGCACTGTCTTCTTTTAGTTCATGCACTCGTTGGGCCAGAGCAGCAGTGGATTTTTTTATCCTATCTCTTCATGTTTTCTCCACAATCATGCAGGAAGAACTACAGCCCAATTCATGGGGTGTGCCTTCTCTCTCCATCTAGGGGACGTCTGCATTGGGTACCAGAACTTCTGACCTGTACTGCCAAGATTTGGAGAAGGTCTTTTTTAATCTTTTTTCTGAGCTTCTTATGATTCTCCTGTATCTTGTCTTCTGGTTTCTGCAGACATGTTTCTACAGCTGTGATTCTGGCACGTGTTGGCCCATGTACAGCACCTGCATAAACTCTGAGCTTCTTTGCCATATCAAGCACTGTCTCATCCCTGTCATCCTGCTTCATTATGGCTGAAATAGAAGCATATTTGTGTGGCCCAAGTCATGTAAGTTTTTGCTACACCACAGATGTGCATAGTATCAAGTCTGGATTCTTAGTTGTTATGTTATTTGAGAAGATAATCTCTGCCACTGCTATTTCTCTCAGGCGTTGGATTTTTTGTTTTATGGTCTTCTACTGGGTTTGCTGCATACAGAGATCATCTGCACACAGGTATCTTTGTGTCATATTGTTTAAGACTTGTGTTCAGAGGCTGTGAGGGTTAGCTCTCTTCATCAGCCTTTGGTCGATGAACAGGATCATGTGACAGGGATTCCAGATGCCTCGCTTCAGTGCCATCCAGAATTGTACTCTCACTTGCAGCATCTTAAAAACAGATTAACTAGCTAATTATGGATTCATCAGATCGTCGGGTGTAATTCTTCTTTAGGCCACAAAGGTCCTTTAGGGAAAAGGACTTAATATTGGCTTTTGATCTTGCACTTATTGCTTTGACTTTTATGTCAGGAAGCACTGAGGGTCTTTTTCTTGCATCATCATCATCATTCACTGGTCGATCGGCCTTGTCTGTACACTATCCACTTCTAATGCTAGTAGCAACAGCTATTGGTTGAGGCTTATTGTCTGGTTTAGCTGCTGGCTTAGGCTCACTATCTGGTTTAGCTGCTGGCTTAGAGCCTGGGGTGTTGGCTGCAGCCTGAGTGACCGGGATAGTTGCTGATTTATCTCCCTGCCCCGCTTCGTCTGTCTGCTGCCCTACAGTATCTAGCAGTTGCGATAAGCATATGCCAGGGCCCAGCTCACTGCAATGATCCTTTTCTTCTTAGGGTACTTCTCTTTCAGGTATTTCTCTACCTCAGCTGGGTTCTGAATTTGCTCATGGGGAAAGTCCCAGACTATAGGATCAGAGAATTCTTTCAGGATTTGGCCTATATCTTCCCATTTCCCACACCACTCAGGATTTTCTATACCTGGGTCTACTCCTGGGTCAGGGGTCTCATCAGCCCATCCAGAAATCTCAGCCCTCCTTCTAGAGAAGCTGTAGACTGTATAGAGGAAGCTTACCAGATTAAGTACCAGAAAGACGGTCTCTTTAATATTCAGGGGAAACTGAACATTCTCCCATAGTGATGTAACAGATTCAGAGGAGAAGAAGGAAAGCAAAGGCTGAAAAACCTCATCCCCCGCTCCTCCTCTAACAAACTGGGTGCATAACCACAGCCATGAACCATTCATACCTGGAACAGAGCCCAGCATGTTTATAAATTTATTACAAATCATCACCACCAAGGCCAGCAGAATAGCTATTCTGGTTACTGCTCCGCTGCTGTAAAAACTAGGTATTAGGGACAATACTAGAGCTATTTTTGGATAAGAAAATAAACCTAGGGACCACAAAGGAATTAAGATCTCAAAAAACTATAGGGACCAAAAATGCATGCAAGCCTTCACCCCAAAAGACATTATGAATTCAAAAAGCATGGCTATTAACTGCTTTATACCAACACAGAGAAATGGTAACCAAAATGCACTCAAAACAGGGTTTTTTCCATTCTCTCTCTCGCCTCACATTGGGCGCCAAATTTTGTCCTAGATTAGGGCAAATCTGGGAGAAAACTTCCAAAAGGGGGCCCCCCAGAAAGCAAGCCTACACAGCTCCTTCCGCCCTATCAGTTCAAGAAGGATTCCTTGGAGAGAAGTGGAAAGAACCTGTTTATTTAACAGGCAAAATACCCCTAGCACAGAAAATGAACAATACCAGATGACAACACTCTTTCACCAATCTGAAAAGGATGACATACTGAGAAAGTCTTTTCTGGGAGTAGTTGCTTTACTGTCGGTCTCTCTGGCACTGGGGATAGCAGCTGCTGCAGGCCCACAAGATGCAAACTCTTGGTGTTTCCCAGGTCCCAGTCCAGAGCAGGTTTGAATGGTTCCAAAAAAAGGGAAAGGAAAACCAGTCCAGGGAAAGATTTGGACTGCTTAGCTAAACTAACTAATGAGCAGAAGCAAAAAGCAAAAGCAAAAGCAAAGCAGGAGCAAAGCAGGAGCAAGAGCAAGAGCAAAGCAAAAAAGCAAAAGCCGCAATATGTACTGCCACATCTCTGTGTCCCGCCAGCCATGGGGGAGCAGACAGATAAAAAGCCAAAACAAAACATTCACTCTTCAGAGCCAGTCTTGAAGGCACAGAACATAATATACAGCAAAACCAGAACACACGATTGGGGATACAAGCATCATAAGATCACCCTAGGACAAACAGTTAGCAAAGATTCAATTGCTCATCAATCCTTACTTCAATGAGCATACAGTGGAGTTTTGTGCAAGGCACTGAGAACAGTTTGAACAGCAGATGGTTGCTGCAATAAATGAAATCTCATTTTTCCTTTTCTGAGCTATGAGAGTAAAATGTTATCAGTATTACTGTAAACATCTTCAAAAAAAGAAAGGGCGGTTTTTATCCTGCCCATCTCCCTTCATTAGGAAAAGGGAGATGACTTTGATTACGTCAAAGAGATCACAAATTACTACACCAGGAAGAAAGCTTACAGATTATCTGCAGTAAATTATAACAGCTTTCAGTAAAATAGAAAACATAATCATGATCTCATACTTAGTGTTCAAATTCCCTTAGGATTATTTTTCAGTAACGATTTCAATCATTAAGAATTCTAAAATGGTACTTTTTCAAATTAAAAACCAGCCGTAAAGCAATTAGAAAATAAACTTTTAAAAACAGATGTTTTGAGAATTAGTTACAAATTTATATTATAACTTAAATATTTGGTTCTAAAAATTTCACAATTTCTAAAAGGAGAGAGAAAAGGGAGGGGGAAAAAAGACACCTGTGCTTGTGTTCAGTTTCAGAGAACCACCAAACAACACCAAGATGCTTACCCAAACTCCAAAGCAAGATTTTTCGAAGAGGAAGAGTGAGGAAATCCTGATCAGATTCCAACACAGTATGAGTAAGTAAGACTTTTATGTTATCATCGCTGTCATTTACTCATCTCGTGTT